GAGCCAGGGAAGGGCTGGAGCTGTGCCAGGGGGGTTGGGATGGATCTCAGGGAAAGGTTCTTCCCCCAGAGGGTGGTGGGCACTGCCCAGGCTCCCCAGGGCAGTGGGCACGGCCCCAAGGCTGCCAGAGCTCCAGGAGCGTTTGGACAACGCTCTGAGGGACAGGGGGGGATTGTTGGGGTGTCTGTGCAGGGCCAAGAGTTGGAATTGATGATCCCTGTGGGTCCCTTCCTGCTCAGAATATTCCATGATTCTGTGATTAACAAGAGCCCTGACCCCTCAGAGATGTCTGGTCTCTGGGAAAGTGTCAATCACCAGGTCAGAGCATGATGTGGGGAATGGTCCTGTAGCTCAGGACATAGGGAAGGTGGGAGGACACATCGGGGAGCCAGAGCTGCCTCCCTCTGCTCCTTGCTGGACCCCCTGACCTGTGTCCCCTGTGTCCCCTGTGTCCCCCGTGTCCCCTCCCTGCAGTGCACCCCAAACTGCGGCCCCGGCTTCCGCCACCGCATCGTCCTGTGCAAGAGCGGCGACCACAGCGCGACCCTGCCCACGTCCCAGTGCCACGAGGCCTCCAAGCCCCCCACCAGCATGAGGTGCAACCTGCGGCGCTGCCCCCCGCCCCGCTGGGTCACCGGCGAGTGGGGAGAGGTAGGGACACTCCTCCTGGTGGAAAACTCCCCAGCCCCTCAAATCCCCCTGCACGTGGGGCTTTTACCAGCCAGCACAACCCCATGTGGCCATCACTGCCATCTGTGACCCTGTGGCAGGGTTCCTTGCTCCCCCTTGGCTCAGGAGGTCGTGTGATGGTGGCCAGTGGTTTAGGGCAGGATGGGGAGGTCCCCACTGAGCCCTGGAGATTCAAAGCAAGCCTTTTGGGAAGCGGGGTCACAGCACTCGGCCATGCCGGGAGGTGCCCGGGGAGGGGAGGACCGACCACATCCAGCACCCTTTGCGCCTCCCAGCACCCATCTGTGTCCTGTCCCGCTGCCGTGGTGGCCTCTGCAGCCCCCTGTGTGCTGTCCCCACAGTGCTCTGCCCAGTGTGGCCTGGGCCAGCAGAGGAGATCCGTCCAGTGCCTGGCCCACACCGGGCAGCCGTCCAGCGAGTGTGTGGAGGCCCTGCAGCCCCCAGGGATGCAGCAGTGCGAGACCAAGTGCGAGTCAGGACCTACGGACAACCCTGAGGGTGAGGGGAACGGGGGTCTCTGGGGTGGGAAACGTGGGGCACTGCCAGCTCAGGGGCTGTGGGGTACAGGGACATCAGAGCCAGCACAGCCCGAGGTGAGCTCTGGGGGAAGGAGACCCCACGTCTGGAATTGTCCAAGGCCAGGTTGGATGGGGCTTGGAGCAACCTGGGCTAGTGGAAGGTGTCCCAGCCTCTGGTAGGGAGTGGGACTGGACAGTCTTTAATGTCCTTTCCAATCCAAATCATTCCACGGGGTGGTTTGGGTTGGAAATGGGGCCATTCTGTGACCCAGTGCTGTTCCCCCAAAGTCCCAGGCCAGCCTGGTGTGCTGTGACCCTGAGAAATGGAATAACTTAGGGCCTTGATTTGGAGCCGTGTGAGGACACTGAGGGCACTTGGTGTGTTCAGCTGGAGAAGAGGAGACTGAGAGGAGACCTCACTGCAGTTCCAACCTCCTGGGCAGGGGCAGAGGAGGGGCAGGCTCTGAGCTCTGCTCTGGGGGGACCAGGGACAGGACCCAGGGAATGGCCTGGAGTTGTGCCAGGGCAGGGTCAGGTTAAATACCAGAAAAAAGTTCTTCCCCCAGGGTGGGCACTGCCCAGGCTCCCCAGGGCAGTGGGCACAGCCCCAAGGCTGCCAGAGCTCCAGGAGCGTTTGGATGATCCTGAGGGGCACAGGGTGTGACTCTTGGGGATGGTCTTTTGCAGAGCTAAGGGTTGGAATCAAAGATCCATGTAGGTCCCTTCCAATTCAGTGTATTCTGTGAGTCTGTGAACTGTACCTTGGCAGAGAGAGGTTTTCAGCAGTGAGGTTCTCAGTAGCTTCTTCATCACAGCTGCATCTTGCTGCTTCCTGGCAAAGGCTGGACACTGGGGTTCTCCTCACCTTGAGGCAGCTGTAACTCTGCTTCCTTCCCTCTGTCTCTCTCCCCCTACAGAGTGCAAGGATGTGAACAAGGTGGCCTACTGCCCGCTCGTCCTGAAGTTCAAGTTCTGCAGCCGGACCTACTTCCGACAGATGTGCTGTAAAACCTGCCAGGGGCATTAGGGACACAGCCTGACCCCCGTGGGAAAACTGGAAGGCAAAAGCTATGCCGGAGGGTCACCGAGCCGGGCCCTTCCCCTCCAACCTGGGAATCTCCCCCGGCTCCAACACAGACACCGCTCGTGCTTCCAGTGGGGAGCCGGCGCCACCCAAACCCCCCAAAGACCAGCACCCTTCGCCCCCTGAGCTCCACGATGGCAGGTTCCCAGTGAAACTATGGCAGCTCCCAGCATGGATGAGCGGTGGGAGAGCGGGAATGCGGGCAGGGACATTACTTGAAGTTCTGATGTTGTTATTTATTAGTCACGGGCCCAGGTCCTGCCAAGCGGGGGGGTGGGGTGGGGAGGGGGGGGGAAGCGGCACCGCCCGCCCCATCCTGTTCCACGCCCGCGTCCTGAGGGCATCACGGAGCACCGGGGTCTGCAGTGGGAGCCTGAGCACACCCAGGGGTGCTGCCATTCCCTCGGGATCCCAGGGGAGACGGGGAGGAGGTTCTGGGTGCCTCGGGTGACGAGCGTGGCGTGTGGCTCCCGAGGAAGAGCTGCTGTGGGAAGTGGGGTTGGAGCAGGAATTTTGTTTGTGTCCTGTCACCTTGGGACCTGCAGCAGGGGACGGGGAGCAGGTCACTCCGTGGTGACACCAGTTTAACTGGGAGAGGGGGGAGGTTATTCAAACACTCACAACGACCTACTTTGATTGGGGTGTCCCCCTATTTTTCCTGTCACTTTTACGGCCACGTTTGTTCCTCGAAGCACGAGCTGAGGTTGGGGCCGAGGTGTGCTCGGGGTTGCAGTCACTTCATGGGCATCGAGGCCATGCTGGGCTGCAGGGAGCAAAGCAAAGGAGATACAGGACAAGGACTGTCCTGTCACAGTGTCCCCACGGCCCTGACTCAGGACCAGCCTGCAGGTCCTGCCCAGAGAATGCCAAAGCCTCTGAGGCTGCTTTGCCTCCAAAGGTGCTTTACTTCCAAAGGTGCTTTGCCTCCAGAAGGTGCTTTGCCTCCAAAAGGTGCTTTTCCTCCCAAAGGCAGCCTGGCCACGTGCCACTGTGGCCTCGGGGTGCCAGTCCCAGTGCCACCCGCTCCTCTGCCCACAGGAGACCCCCGGTGACGGGAAAAGAGCAGGCTTGACATTCCTCCAGGTCACCTCCTGCCCAAATCTGGGCCAACACGTGTCTTCTCCGTGCAGGGGAGACCTGACTTCAAATCTCCAAAGCACACCCTTTCTGCTACCATTATTGTTGTTATCACTACTATTTTCAGGCCTTTCCACGTCCCCAAAGAATGAGAAATCTCATCCAAAGCCATGCCTTGTTCCTCTGGGGTCACCCCTTACAGCGCAGGGAGGGGCCAGCCCTCTTTTCCCCAGAGCAAACCTCTGCACCCTCCCAGCCTCCCTGTGTTACTCTACCATCTTGCATTTTAATTTTCACCTGCTCCTCAGCCGATTTCGCAGCTTCTCTGGTGCTCAGCAAACCCCGCCTGGCTGGGGGGTCCTCATTTGTCTTCCTTCCTGGTGCCATGCTCCGTTCTGACATTTTGGGGAGGGGAGGGGAGTGTTTTCACCTTTTTATATAGATATATATATAATGAAAATTGTTTAACATACTAACTCTGAGGAGGAGCGACGTTAACGGCATGATTTATAATAAAGGAGTAGCTACGATCCCGGGCACAGCTCCTGGTCCCAGTCGTGTCTCACCCCCACACCACCACCGTCCTCATGCCAAAGGAGGGCTTTGGGAGCAGGGGAGGTTTTTCCCAAGGCACTGGAGAAGGTCAGAGAGGTGGAGATCCACCTAGAGCTGACGTGGGACTTGTAGGACCCCCGGGGTCACGGAGACCCCCTGTTGGTAATGCTGGTCTGGGCCAGCAGGTCCAGGGAGGGGATTCTGCCCCTCTGCCCCCACCTCAGGTGAGACTCCACCAGTGCTGCCTCCAGCCCTGGGGTCTCCAGCATCAGAAGGATGTGGAGCTGCAGGAGTAAGTCCAGAGGAGGCCACGGAGATGCTGCCAGGGCTGGAGCCCCTCTGCTCTGGAGCCAGGCTGGGACAGCTGAGGGGGGTTCCCCTGGAGAAGGGAAGGCTCCAGGGAGACCTGAGAGCCCCTTGCAGGGCCTAAAGGGGCTCCAGGAGAGCTGGAGAGGGACTGGGGACAAGGGATGGAGGGACAGGACACAGGGAATGGCTTCCCAGTGCCAGAGGGCAGGGACAGATGGGATATTGGGAAGGGATTCTTCCCTGGGAGGGTGGTGAGGGGTTGAGAGGGAATTCCCAGAGAAGCTGTGGTTGCCCCTGGATCCCTGGAAGTGTCCAAGGCCAAGTTGGAGCAACCTGGGACAGTGGAAGGTGTCCCTGCCCACGGCAGGAGGGTGGAATGAGATGAGCTTTAAGTTCTCTTCCAACCCAAACCATTCCACAGTTCTGTGATCTCAGGATGGTTTGTCTCCAGGGGACAGAGGGGACATGGCAGTCAGAGCTGTCCTTGGCTTCCTGCCACAGCGACAGGTCATCTCTGCTCCTCAGGTGTGGCCTTTCTATTTAAAAGACCTGAAAGGGGAAAACAAACAAACAAACAAACAAAGAAAACAGCAATTAGAAGCATCTTGCTCCTAACATCACAGGTCACATCGACATGTCACCACAGGGTGGGGACAGGTTTTCTGGACGCTCTGAGCATCCCTGCCAGACTCCACCAAGCATCCACCTGCCTACCCGGGTGGGTGGTCCTCACAACCAGCAGCAGAGGTGGGGACACCGTTGGACAGGGCCACCCCAGGGTCCCAGGGCAGCAGAGCCACTCTTGTCCTCCCCACCCCCAGCAAACCCTCACGAAAGGAGGAAGTGGGAGGGGAGGAAAAAAAAAAAAATTAGTCTCAATTTGTAGCTGCAGCAGAAACACAAAGTGCTCCATGATGGCACCAGAGCCTCGGTGACAGGACCCCCTGAGCACCCCCGGGGGGCAGGACACAGGGACACCATGGTGAGTGCAAGAGGGGCCCCCTTCTGGGTCTCCCCCCATCCCCATCCCCCTCGGGCACCCTGGGGATGTCACCCCCTCTTCCTGCCACCTCAGGGCCACCTCAGGCCGGTCCTCTCCTGCACCAGTCCTGCTGCTTTCTGGGAGGTGCCAGGAGCCTGCCAGTGTCCCTGCTGGAGAGGGGACAGTGTTCCCAGGCTTGGGGACAGGGAGCAGTACTGGGGCTGGACACAGAGGTGGGGGGCAGCCAGGGATGGGTGCCAGTGCTGGGTGCAGGGTTGGTGCCCCCCAGGGCAGGATGGAGCCCCCCAGGGATTGAGTCTGGGCTGACACGAAATGGGTTTGATTTTGCTGTGGCACCCACGGGAGAACCTTGTGTTCCTCCCAGCCCAGCCTCCCACCAGAGCTTCTGGTTTTGGGGTGCTGATGACATCGGTGGGGGGTGGGCAGAGCGTGGGGTGGGGGGTGTCAGCCCTGTGCCCCAGGCCAGGAGGGACCCTCTGAGTGTTGGCCCCCATGGTTGGCCCTTGCCCCCCTGGCAGATGCAGGGAGCAGGGGCTGCAGGCAGCACACGGGGCTGCTGGAAGGCCAGTGGCCGCATCTGGAAGTTGCTCCGGAGGCAGAAGAGGAAGATGAAAGCTCTGAAAATTAGGAAGATGCTCAGACAGGGAGGGAGGGTCCGCACAGCGGGGTCACAGCCGTGTCCTCCAGCCCACGGCCCTGCTCCTGGGGGGATGCTGTTCCCAGCCACCACCACCCAGACAGGAAGGGGACAGTGACCAGGCTGAAACCAAAGCTTCTCCCACCCACGGCTGTGGCTGCCACCTCCGAGAGGCTGTTTAGCTGCTGTCCCCCCAGAGACACGGCCACTGTCCCCTCCCCACCTCCACCCAACACCTGAAGGTGCTTTGTGCCTTCTCCAAGGGCCGTGGGGCTGCACAGGCAAACCCCCGACCCCTTCCAGCCCCCAACCCCTTCCTGTGCCTGGTTGTGACAGCGAGGTGACAGCCCCACTGCTCTTCTCGAGGTTTCCGGTGGTTTTAAGGTGTTGCTGCCTCTGGGCTTGCCCCATCTCAAGATAAAACACCTTGGGTTGCATCCGCTCCCTGCTCAGGGCTTGCAGGTTTTTTTGGTGGTTTAGATCTCAGCTTTGAAGAAAAACATGATGTTTTTTTGCAAGTGCTGCCACGGGGCTGCTCCCCTCCCTGCCTCGGCGATGCTGTCTGAGCTCCAGGGGCATCCGGAGCCCCAGTGGTGACAGTCCCCACCCCACATCCCTGGGGATGCTGGTGGGCTCCTCATGTGTCACCTGCCGTGCACGGGATCGCTGCTGGAGCAAAGTCCCTCACGCACAGAGGCTGCAAAGGGCACCTGGAAGGTCAGGGGTGGGCAAAAGCTTCTCCCTGCCTGGCACGGGGATGAAGTGGCTTCTTGAAGGTGTTTGGTCCAGGCACCATTCCCTGGGGACCTCTGCTCTCCAGTTCACCCCTAACTTCATCCTGGGGTAAAGAAGGGGACCTGAACAGAGGAGGGGACTGAGGAACTGCTGCCCCAAACCTCTAAAAACAAATTTTGTGCCCCCACTCCCACAGGGGGCTGCCTGCAACCCCCATCCCCTGGGGGTTCGCTGGGCACCAAGCCTGGGCAATGCCATGGCTTGGGGGGATCGTAATTCCTCTCCATCCTCCCCCAAGATTTCAGTGAGCCCTGGCCCTGCAAACCCCTTGGGATGTGCTCAGGGAAGCCAGGCAGGCTCTGTGCTCCCAGAAACACCCAGAGCCTTGCAGATACCCAGGACAAAACCCTTCATTCAAAGCGAGCCGGTGTTTTCCTTGCAGCTGAGAGCCAGGAAAGCACCTGAGTTGGCCCAGAGGAAGAGGAGGTGGCAAAGGCACGCACTCCCCACTGACAGCTCTGAGAAGGAGAAGCTCTGGGTGTCAGATCAAAATCTCTGAGCTTTCAGTGCAGGAAATGCTTGTATTTGCCTTAATTTGGTGCCAGAAGCGGTGCCAGAGGGTTTGGGGTGATGGGGACAGGGAACAGAGGTGTTTGCCCCCCCCCACGGGCTCTTCCTGGCTCTCTCCTCTCTGCCTGAAGCTCAGGGTTTTGGTTGAAGCAGCTTCTGGGGTCACTGGCAACTCCAAAGCGACCTGGAGTGGGTGACTGAGCCCACGTATATTTTTCCAGGTGGATTTTCTAGGGGATATCAGGATGGAGGGCAGGAACAGGAGGGAAAGGCGAGAAAAAGACCCGTAAACAGCAAACAGGAGGAAGAGAAGAAGCTCCCCCAGTGGTTTCAGGCTGTGTGAGCAGCCCCATTACCACTCAGACCCCCCTG